CAAACAAGGATAAAAGTCTCATACTGTAATCGATGCATTCTCTGTTACTCTCAAATAGAGTTTACAAGAAAAAATGGCTGGCTCTAAGAGAAAATTATATTGGCAGCATTCACAGAGAACTGTGTAGGTGCATAACAACATTGAATAGAGTCCCAAGTTATCTATTTTCATCTCCATGTGCCTTATTTATATATTGTCAAATGTCCAATAAAGTGAAAGATTCTGAGTCACATAAATTGAAGCAATAGACGGTAGAAAATGAAAAAGAAATAAACTTAATTAACTCAGAAACAGTGATTTTTTTTCTCCTCCATTCCTTCTTGTAGAGCACCCAAAGAGAAGCATGGTATAAAGGATTTAAGGTTAGAGAACCTGAATTGTAATCTTGGCTCAGTTCTACTAAGGATATGGGAAGGATATTTATAATACAATCACAACTCAACAACAATCATCACTACCATATTGTAATAAGAATTCAGATTTTAACAGCATTGCCAAGGTCACCAACACTTTCCACATAATAATCCTCTGAGGTTGGCAATGCAAGTATCCTTGTTTCCATTTCACAGAAGAGGAAACTGAGGCTGAGGGAGGTAAGGTTATTTTTTTTTAATATAGCTACACAGCTAGTAAGTATACAGAGCCAATATCTGAATCCCAGACTCCTACTCAAATAATTTAAAAAATCTTGTTGTAAAATCATTTTCCATACTTGCCAAGATGTGATTGAAATGGTTGCTGATAATCTAATAATAATGCCAATTTGTAGCCCATGGTGGTTTTGATTCTCCTGAGTATAAGATTAAGAACAATATATTTCTGACTACATATATATAAATACTATTCTTTAGTATTAAATGTCCCTAATGTTATTTTACTTAATGTTTATTTCAAAAACTGAGTGAATCAATGATGTTGAATGGAGTTTGCAATGAGAAATATGTGTGAAGGAAGGAAAAATAAAAAAAAAATAATGAATTTCTCCTAAGATAGGTCAATGCACTAAGAATACTAGATTAAGAAATAGCCATAGTGAATGAATGATAAACAGAAAAATAAAACCAAATGATAGAGACTCATTTCAGGAAGGTACTTATGAAATTATATTACTAGTAGTGTATGGTTAATGATAGGTGTTGATTCTCTCCTCCTCCAAGTTAATATAATCATAGAAATCAAGGGATAAAAACAAGAGGCAATGAGGTATTATGTTAACCAAGTGAAAAGAAATATTAACATACTCTTGTCTCTTCATGAAATATAAAGGAGTATTCCTTGATTGAATTGGAAAGGCAAGATACTGGAAAGGCTGGATGAAGACTGGCCATGGATCTGGTGGCCTGTTTAAAACCTGAGTTCACCAGCAAGTATCCAGAAAGGGAAGGATAACATAAAAAAGAATTTCAGTCAGAATCAAATTAGATTATGCTTGAGCAACAAGAAAGGAAAGAAATAATCAAAGAAGAATATAATAATAAAATATAATAACTACAAAGTTAAAATGTAAAGATTCATATAAAGTTAAAATAAGGGTCTATAACAGAATGCATTCTGTCTCATCTGACTCCAAGAAAGCAGGGATTACAACAATTATCTCATGGAAGGTAGCAATAAAAGTGGACATTAATGAGAGATAAATAGCAAAGCTACCTCTTGCTCAAAGGCAGCAAAATGAAATAGTATCAATATTGAATATGAATGCAATGAGGGTCATAAGAATCTAAAAACAGAAGGCTCAAATTAATTGAATTCTATGAAGATCTAAGATAATAAGATAATAGATAAGTAAGATAGTAAGATAATAGTTGTTTCTGACTTGAGTGTGCCTTTTCAGATTTCAGCAAATCTAAGAAAGTTAAACAAGAGGGAAACTAAAGTTCTGAAAATAATATTAAGAAAAAAACTACATGTGGCCTACAAAGAATGATTATTGAATGAGGATATTAAGGCATGTACGTATTTTTTCTGTACCACATGACATAATCACAAATATTCATCACATGTGTGAAGAGCAAAAAGAACTCAAAAGTAAATTAAGAATGATAGAAATAATAAGTTCATCCATTATAGGCCATAAAATAATAAAATTGTAATCAATAAGGGGATTATGAACAAAAGGCATAACTAGAGACTAAATAAGGTTTTTCTAAATGAATGGATTAGAGAAGCCATAGAGTTTGCTTAAGAAAAGCATATCCTACTGGTATAAAATAGAACGTAACAAAAATTTGTGGTACATAGCTATAGCAATCTTCAGAGGAAATAGATATGTAAAGTTAGAAGTAAATACAAATATTCATATAGTCATATATATATACACACATGAACATTAATAATTATAAAAGAGCAAAAAACATGTTAGTATATTGATACTTTATTTTTTAAAAAACTCTAGAAATCAACATATTAATAATACCCAAAGAACCACAGTTAGACATTTTGAAAATCAAGAAAAGGTCAATACAATGAAAAATTATAGCTATAAAAATGCAGCTAATAAATAAAACTCAAGGCTCTTTTTCTTAGAGACCAATTAATTGATAAATCATTTTCTCATCTGACTTTTAAAAAAGAGAGACATTTAAAAAAAAACCTGCCACATTTAAAAATGTTAATTCCAGAAATGAATATACTTAGCTTTTAAATGATAAAATGTATAACTAGGATACAGTGGGTGAATATTTAAAAATCGAAAATATCTATATCAATAAACCAGGAATAATAACTCTAAGAATCCTCAGAAGGAAAAATCAAGTAAAACATAAATGAGATCCCAAAGAAAACAAAAACAAATCCTGATCCATCTGGATTTATGAGTGAATTCTATTCAACACTTGGAAGTATATATAGGTATAGTGCTAGCTAAACTATTAAAAAAATTAGAAAAAATATCATTAACCTTTTATGAAATAAATGTGGGTGTGATCCTCAAAAGGTAGTTTTAAAAACTACCTATCAATAGCTCACATTAATATTGTGCAAAAATTAAGTGAAATGCTAACAGAGGCCACAAGTAGTACCTACCTATCTATATACACACATACATTCATATGCACATATATGTGTATATAATATATGTGCATGTATGTACACAGACGCACATACAAACATACATATACACATTATCTGTGTGTATATTTAAGTAGTTATAGCCAAGCTAAATTTTCACAAGTAATGAAATGATACAGAAGAAAAGATTAATATGATTTGGATTAGGTTGGGAATACTATATTGAACAGAAGAAATATGATCTAGACTTCACAAAAGCTGTGTAGAATTGAAATAAGTACAGAGGGGAAGAAAGATCACTGGGGAATCAATAAAAAAAAATAGATAAGTTGGCAGGAAGAAGTAAGATCTGTGTGAAGGGCTAGAACTTCTCTGATGTGTAATCCACTTGAGACACATTTATTTACTTCTACTTAGAACTGAGGAAACTTAGAGATCATCTTGTTCAAATCCTATGTTTTAAAGTTTACAAAATTGAAATTTAGAGAGGGAATATGACATGATGAAGTCAGTGGCAAGGTTGAGACTAGAACTCAGATTTCCTAAGTTTTGGTTTTCTACTTTCTCTAAATAGCCCAACAGAGTTTCTCAATCCCCACAAAAAGCATTCATTGGAGAGTTCTTTAAAATTACTGTCTACCATCAGCCAAGCCAATGCCTGGTAAGTCTTACTAAGCTAGAAGAGCTTCAAGTGTAGCAATTGGCAGCATGCATGTTGTCTAAGGACCCGCCTAGCCAATGTCAGGGAGGTTTGTCACAAGAGGGTTCCTTACTAGGACATGGATTTTTAGCCATAACAGATCTTGAAAACCATCTGCTCAGATGTGCAGCAGCTCTAATGTATGTCAGTTGGGGGTACCACCTACACATAATGAAATGATGGAACTTCTGAAGCAAGTCCTGCCATTATTATTTATTGAGGTAGTGAGGTCATTGCTTGGACAAGACTGCTAAGAAAAGTACTCTTTGCAGGGACTGATATCAAAGGCTGACTGCTCTGCCACTAAAATGTTGTTTCTTTAATAAAAGGGACTAGCTTCAGGTGAGAAAACACCTGGGCATTTTGTTAGACTGCAAGCTCAATAAGTCAATAATGCGACGTGGCAGTCAAGTACCAAAACACACCTACTAATGTGACTAAAGCTTGAATGAATTGAGTTGTATTGCATAGAACAAAAGAAGTTATGACTTTACCTCCACAACTCTTGCTGTGTGGTAGCTTCTGCTCTCAGAGAACTTTCAAACTAATAGGGAGTATAAAAAACTTCACAATTAAGTATTTTAAAATTAAAATGTAATAATTATCCATTTTAATTTATTTTTAAAGTCCCTAAATAGTTTACCTTCTATTCTAGAGAAGACTTTGTCTTCTCTAAACTTTTTTCTTCCCCAATGCTTAGCACAAGACTCAACATACAGTAGGCATTTAATTAATGCTTGATGAATTGAAAAATGACAAAAAAGACTTAATTACATTGGTAAATCAGTATAAAATGAGAATCATGGAATCTTAGAGATGGAAGGGATCTCATCATTCAATCTTTCCCTCAAATATGCTTCCCCTTTATAATAACCTATGCAAGAGATCATTCTACCTCTGTAACAGGAAACTCATTGGTTCACTAAATGACCTATTTCATAATTGGACTGGTCTGACTGTTAGGAAGATCTTGCTTAGACAGAGCCAACACTTGACTTTTTGTAATTACCCTACTCCATCTAATCACACACACCTCCACTGGTGGAGAGAAGACTTTACTGCTGCTTCCTGTCTCTTAATGATACCATATCCAAAGCAGTTGTTGGTGCAAAGTTTATTTCTTCCATCTTGGCAGACAAGCTGCAGAGCTCACCATCCTCCACAAAAGAAAAATCATCATGTGTATGTAAAACTTTTTCATATACAATGGCCTTAGGAGTTATAATTGCCCATAAGTCAACCCACCAACCAGCCTGAGCATCAGGAGGAATGAGCACAGCACCATATTTACCTTGGGCAGTGCATACTTTGGTAGCTTCATCAGAACAAATTCATTGCGTCGATAAGATACGTAGTATTTAGTCCGATTTGCTGTTGTCGCCTAATAGGAAGAACAGGCATATGTTAGATTTGTTTACTCAATCCAAACAAATTTATGGGGGAAAATACACAGTATAAATATTCAGGGAGATGCCCTAAAGTACGTAATAACTTTTGGACATTTCCAGGAATCATTTAAAAAAAATAATATATAACAACATAACAACAAAGGGGCTAATAATAATACTACAGAGTATCCCAAAAGGTTAAATGCAGGTTAAAGTTTTTACTTTACTGCACTTTTACTGCACTAAAACTTTTGGGACACCATGTACACTAGTTAGTGTATGATAATTAATAATAACAATAATAAGAGCTAACATTTAGATAGAGCAATATGGTCACAGCGTGTCTTAAACTGAGATATCTCTTCAGTCTTAAAACAGTCTTGTGAGATAAGTAAGTTGATTATAACCTTTTACGACAGCTAAAGAAACAGACTTCCAGAAGTAAAATAACTTGTCCAAAATTACTTCAAATAAATCCATCCTTGAAGGATCTGTTATTTTATTATAGTGGGTCCTCTCTTCACTGGTGAAAATCATATATGCCTTAGCAGATGGTCTCTAAGGGGGTACTTTGGCTGCATGATAAATTGCCCTGTGGCCAATTTATGGGCCTCTCATATCTGACCTAGGATGGTCTTCAGAAAACAATCATTGCTTCTATTGTGGGACCACACTTCATGCTTTTCTAGTTTTGTAGAATCTGGTAGAGCTCATGGTTCAACGTCATAGCTTTTAAGAATCTAGGGTCACCTCAAGTGAGGTATTGGTGGAGAACTTTTGTGGAAACCCAATAGCATACAGCCAGTGAATAGATGAGCCTGGAACAGATACCAAGTCATAGACTAGACCAGGTCATAAGCTTTGAGAGGTGGCAGGAATCTCAGGAGCTATGCAGTCTATTACACATAAGACATACATCACCAGTATAATACACCAGAAAAGGGGTCAACTAGCCTCTGCTTAACAACCTCCATGGAAGAGAAACTTACCACTTTTAGATAGCTCTAATGGTCAGAGGTTTTTTTTTTTTTCTTTTCCATTATATTTACTCTGAATTTTGTCTCATTGCAATTTCCACACATTGTCCCTGAGTCTCCTCTCTGGAGATGGACAGATAGATGAGTATAATCCCTTCTCCTCATGATAGCTCATCAAATACTTGAAGATAACTCTCATGTCCCCTGATACTTCTCATGTCTAGGCTAAACATCTCCAGTTCCTTCAACTAATTCTCATCATGCATAGACTCAAGGTCTTTTCCTTCCTGGTTTCTTTTTTTATCTGGACACTCTTGAGCAGCTACCCTTTTATTAAGGGGATCTGTTCTGTGAAGTTTGGATTCACTTTTTTAACTATGGCACCCAGAACTGAACAAAAAAACTCCAGAGGGCAGAGCATAGTGGAAACATCCTACACCTTTTCCAGAAGCCAATTCTCTCAATATAATATGAAATAATAATAACTCTTTGCTTGCTATATCACACTGAGCTTGCAGTCCAATAAAACAAACATCTTTCTAGAACAACTGGAATATAACCAAGCCTTCCTCCTCTTGTATTTGGGAAGTTGATTTTTTTTTCACATAAGCCTTTATATTTATCTCTACTGAATTTCATCTTATTAAGTCCCAAAGCTCTAGTTTATTATTCTTAAATTTATTGTCCAGTGGGTTAGCTAATTCTCCTAGCACCACATCATCTGCCTATTTAAGCAGCGTGTCATCCATGCTTATTTCTAAGTCATTGATAAATATGTTAAACAGCACAGAGCTAGCACATATCCCTGAGGCACTCCACTGGAGACCTCCTAACACGATGACATTAAACCATTAACAATTACTCTTTGAGTCTGGATATTCCACGAGCTCTGAATTCATCTAATTATACTATTGTATAGTTTGTATTGTTCCATCTCATCTGCAAGAAAAGTATGAGATACTAATATAGATAAGCTATATTCATGGTATTTTCTTCATCTACTCATGTGAGTAATCTTGTCATAAAAGGAAATGAGTCTAGTCTGGCATGACCTGTTCCTGATGAAATCACACCGGCTACTGGCAATCACTGATTCGCTTTCAAACCATATCACAATCATCTCTTTAATGATCCACTGTAGAATTTCTACAAGTCTGGCTTATAGTTTACTATCCTTGTTCTCTCCCCATTTTTTAGAAAATCAGGACATTTTTATTTCTCTAATCTTTAGGTATATTTTCCATGATTTTTTTTTTCAAATATCACTTCCAGTAGCTCAGGAATTACTGAAACTCCCATCACTAAGATATCATGTCCCTATGCTACACTTGTGATCTCTTTCCAAAACTTCTTAGCTATTTCCTCTTTCTTTTTCTATGGTTTATATTTATAGTATATTCCAATTACATAACCATTTCTCATTCTCTTTCTATTATCCTTTACTCAAATATCCCCTCTTCATGCTCCCCATCATACCTCCTGGATTTCTTCATATATTTTCTTAATATATAATCCTCTCCCTTCCCTCCCCTGCCTTGTTTCTTTTTAATAATGTCTACCTATTTAAATCTATAGTCAAGCCTTGGATTTCTTTCTATTAAGTTTTAGTGATACTTTGAGGTCCAATTTGTCTGCTTGAGGTGGGACCTCTTTTCCTCTTGTTTGTTACTTAAATGGTAGGTGTTTATGTGTAGTTATTTGAGGTAATGAATTTTATTACTGGCTCCTTTTTTTGGATTTTGTCTCCTGTTGCATTCTGGGCACCTGAACTGCTATTCTTCTCTATTGCTTGGGGGATACAACACACACACACACACAAACACACACACACACGTGTAAGTTAAAAAATCACAACTCATTAATGACCAAAAATATTGGAACAGTTTTAGGATGGCTGATTAGGATAGTTCAGAGACTGCTTCGTCTAGTGAGTGGAAAAAAAAAACTCTCTACTTGGAGTAAGAAAACCAAGGTCACTTATGTTGTTCACTCCTCATAAGGAACTGAACTTAAAAATAAATCAATTATTTGATCAAAGATTGACTGATCAACAGTTCAGAGAGGAAATATTCAGGATTTCTATTGATTATAAGGAAGAAAATTAAATGTAGCAATATCAGGAGTATTGATGGAGAAAAACCTGTTTTATTTTATTTTTATGTTTTTGCAAGACATTGAAAAAAGGCATTCAACCTTACCTAATTTAATGAAAGGGAAAAGCAAAAAGACACACTGATTAGATCATGGATTCTTAATGTTTTTTGTCATATGGACAAAAGAACAATGTTTTTAAAGGCATAAAATACAAAGGATTGCAAAGGAAACCAATTATATTTAAATAAGATTATCAAATATATGTATATTATACACACACATATACATATATGTACATATAGACAAATCCATTAGCTAATGAATCAAGGTTAAGAACTGAATTAGAGAAATACTCAGAAGGCTTTCCATATCAAAGATCAGTATCTTTGAGGAAACCCAAACATAAGTACATAGAAGGTTAGACCTGGAAGGAATATTTGAATATAGGATGTCAAAGCCAGAAAGAAGATTAGATTACAGAATATAAATTTTAACAACTGGAAGCTACCTGAAAACATAGAATAGAACGTCAGAGATGGAAGGATACAGCATGCAATATTAGAGCAGGAAGGGACCCTAGTACCTAGAATGTTAGAACCATAAAGGAATTTAGAGATGAGCTGCAATATTTTTACATTGGAGATGAAGGCACAGAAGCCTTGAATTGTGAATGTCTTGCCCAAGGTCCCTGGGATAGCAGGGATAAAATTCTAGGTTTCCTGATTCTTAGGCTAGTGCTCCTCCTAAACCATGCTTCCTCTTAAAGGGATAGATGCTAAAAAAATTAAATTAAATTAAAAAAAAAACAGTTCTTGCTGAAAGATGCAAATTTGACCTTTGTCTGTTGAAATAGAGATGAAATATGACAGAAAATCTACCTGCCTGAATATTTAATACACATCGAAAATGTAACATTTGAACTGCTTAAGTTACTTTTTCATTACAAAACCTTTTTTTTTTCACTGAATAATAAATGGGAAGCCTTTAGGATCCTGATTTATTAACTGACAGATAAGAGGAAAACTATACAGTTGTTATTTTTATTTATTTCATTTTAAAATATCAGCTTGATTTGTCATATCAAGCTGTCAAAAATACTGCCTTTCAAGGGAAGTCAGTTTCTTTAGTCTGAAAGCTAAAAGGAAATTCATTTACCTTTTTTTCCTCCCCTAAAGGGAAGCTGCCAGATAAAAAGTATCCACGAGCTGGAGACATAGTAATAAGTCCTGACTGCTAAGTGACTGCTATGTGACCTTTCTGGTTGTGTGGTATATGTTTCCTCTCTGGACATATTTCCAAATGATGATAACAACTATAATGAATGTGGATAGAGGGTTGTAAGGTTAGTAAAGCACTCTTTGTCCATCATCTCATTTGGACCTCACAACAACTCTCTCAGCTAGCTACTACAGTTATCATTATCCTTAATTTACAGGTAATAAAGTTAAATGTTTTACCCACAGCCACATAGCTAATAAGTGTCAAAGGCAGAATTTGAATTCAGGACTTACAGACTGAATCCTGTTTGGAAGTCATTAAAATGACTTTGTCATTAATTAAAAAAAAATTCATTTTACCTTAAGGTTTATAAAGAGTTTTCCCATTTGTAGTCCTCTAAGGTAGAGAGCACAAATACTGTTTGTACCTATTTTACACTCAAGGAAACTAAGGCACAGAAATTTATCATTATTATTTATTAATCATATGATTAATCATTTACTAAAATTATTTAAAATTAATATCATAATCATGAAATTTATTCATGAAGGTTATTATTATTAATCAATTAACCCATGGTTACATATTCGTTGCCAAAACTGTTGTGCGTATCAAGGCCTCCTGAGTTAAAGCCCAAAATTCTTTTAAATAAATTATGGGCTATGAAGGAAGAGATTTGTGTCTCATAAAGCATCATAAAAAGCTAATCAATAACATTATTATTATTGTTATCATTATTATTGATATTAAAAGGAAGGACACCCATATATGTATATCCATCTATCTATCTATCTATCTATCTATCTATCTATCTATCTATCTATCTATCTA